GATGCCTTATATTTCACTCAGAAGGAAACCTGAAAGTAGGTCTTATTTTCGGAGGATGTCTTATTTTTTGGAAACATGGTAGAAACATCAATGATGAGAATCATTGAATGGCTGCCTCCTGCCCACCCCCTACTGGGGATGGAGCCCACAACCCAAGCATGTGACCTTAAGCAGAATTGAACCCATGACGCTTCAGTCCATAGGCTGATTTTATAGATACCAAAAGCCACTAAAAATTTTTGAGGAGAAAAGGGCCACTATGATGGTAGTGGTATTTAAGAAAGATTAATCTATCAATAGTATTTAATCCAACAAACATTTTAAAACTTACATTATATTCTCAAGCTTTGTGCTGAGAAACTGGAAAAGAAAGATGAAAAAGAAGCTGTTCCTGCCTTAAAAGAACTTACAATGTAGGATGGGGAATTAGTGGGAAAAGTAGCATAGTAACATAGCAAGATCTATCATCACCATCATATATAATAAAAGGATAATATGCAAATTGACCGTAATGGTGGAACGACCAGTCGCTATGAAGCTCACTGACCACCGGGGGGCAGACGCTCAATGCAGGAGCTGGCTCATAGCTGGCCAGTGCAGCAGCGGTGGCAGGAGCCTCTGCTGCCTCCCTGGCAGTGCTAAAGTTGACTAACGGCTTAGGTCCATTTTCCAGGGGAGCAGGCCTAAGCCATTATTTGGACATCCTCTGAGGGCTCCCAGGCTGCCAAAGGGATGCCTGACAGCCAACTTAGGCCCGATCCCCCAGGAAGCAGGCCTGAGCCAGCAGGTAGATGTACCCCAAGGGGTCCTGGACTACAAGAGGGCGCAGGCCAGGCTAAAGAACCCACCCATCCCAAGTGCACGAATTTTCATGCACCAAGCCTCTAGTATATATATAAAAATCTAAACGACCCCAGAACAACTGGAACGACTAGTTACTATGATGCGCACTGATCACCAGGGGCAGATGCTCAATATAGGAGATGCCCCCTAGTGGTCAGTGTGTTCCCACAGCGGGAGCACCACTCAGTCGGAAGCCAGGCTCATGGCTGGCAAGCACAGCCGTGGTAGCAGTGCTAAGGAGAGGTTGAGAGAGCCCTGAGAGCCAAGCTGGGTGCTGCCCGGCTTGGGCTTATCCCCAGCCTCCTGCTGCTTCAAGCACTGCTACAGGATTGGGCCTAAACTGGCAGCCGGACACCTCCCAAGTGCATGCGCCCTACACTCATGTCTCGTCTGAGAGCACTCTGCCCAGAGATGCCACCAACCCTCTCCTCAAGGTCTTTATAAAGGAGTCAGTAGAGAGCAGAGTTAAAGAAGGAAAGAGGATGTATGAGAGAACTGTAGGAGCTATAATGAAAATCAAGTATAGTTGTGTACTGGAGACAGATTTTAAAAGTAGGAGTCAGAAAAGAAAAAAGATAAATATTAGTGAATAATTAGGCAGATAGATGAATAGATATTAAAAGTGAAAGTAAATGGAGAAGAATGTATGGGAAAGGTAGGATGAGAGAGAAAGAGGGAGGGAAGGAAGGTTTTAAAGGGAGCCGGTAGAGCTTAAAAGGAGAATGGGAAGAAGGAAGAAATGGGGGAGGGAGCAAAGCAAGTCTGAGGGAGGAAGTGGAAAAAAAAAGGTGGGAAGAAGGAAAAGGGGAAGGAGGGAAGGGTAAAGATAAAGGAAAAAAGGAATGTAGGCAGGGAGGGAGGGTAGGAGAAAGATGGGAAGAAGGAAGATGAAACAGAGTAGGAAATAAGGAGAAAAGAAAGGTTTATAAATGACAGTAGGAAAAAGTGTTACAGAATGGAGAGAGAAAAATTGTGTGAGGGAGAAGCCAATAAGGAAGTCAAATACAGTTGTATGTGAAGGGGATAAGATTTTTTAAAAAAGTTAATAGGGGTGAACAGGTTGGCAGGGGAGGGCAGTTAGGGGTGACCAGGCCAGCAGGGGAGGGCAGTTAGAGGGATCAGGCCAGCAGGGGAGAACAGTTAGGCAGCAGAATGGCTAAGGCAGGTGAGCGGTTAGGAGCTAGAGGTCCCAGATTACTAGAGGGATATCCAACTGGTAGTTGGACACCCCTGAGGGCTCCCCAGATTGGAGAGGGTGCAGGTTGGACTGAGGGACACCTCTCCTCCCGTGCACAAATTTCATGCACCAGGCCTCTAGTCATTAGCATATTACACTTTGATTGGTTGAACAAACAACTGGACACTTAGCATATTAGGCTTTTTTAAATTTTTTTAATATATTTTATTGATTTTGTACAGAGAGGAAGGGAGAGAGATAGAGAGTTAGAAACATCGATGAGAGAGAGTCATTGGTCAGCTGCCTCTTGCACACACACCCCCTACTGGGGATATGCCCGCAACCAAGGTACATGCCCTTGACCGGAATCGAACCCGGGACCTTTCAGTCCCCAAGCCGACGCTCTATCCATTGAGCCATACTGGTTTCAGCTAAGCTTTTATTATATAGGATACCTGCTTAGAAGTTATGTGTCAAGCTAAAACCGGTTTGGCTCAGTGGATAGAGCGTCTGCCTGTGGATTGAGGAGTCCCGGATTCGATTCCGGTTGAGGGCATGTACCTTGGTTGCAGGCACATCCCCGGTGGGGGGTGTGCAGGAGGCAGCTGGTCGATGTCTCTCTCTCATTGATGTTTCTGGCTTTCTATCCCTCTCCCTTCCTTTCTGTAAAAAATCAATAAAATATATTTAAAAAAAAAAAAAGAAGAAGAAGTAGTTGTGTGTCAAAATAAGATAAAATAAAGGGTGAGGAGAAATAAAACTGTGGATATCGGCTAAATTGTTACTACCCATCCTGTTAGCTCAGGTTACTATCTTTAGTATAACAAATTTTCACCAAAAAGTAATTAGACTTCCAACTTTATTATAATGACATTTTAACAAAACATAATTCATTTTGAAATATGGGCTCTTACATTGAATTAAACAGGTTTTGATTATCTGAATAGGTATTTTACTTAAAGAAAGGTACAACTTCATGATCTAGGGAATAGTTACTTGTAAATTATAAGTTTATAATTGAATACTGGCTTAATTGAATACAGTTATAATTGAATACTGGCTTAATTGAGTACAGTTATAATTGAATACTGGCTTAAGTTTTTATTATGTAAGACATTTAATTTTAGTATTTAAAACAGTGATCTATACTTTAAAAAAAAACAAGTTTAAGACAGGCATACTTGAAGATATTGCAGTTTCAATTCCAGGCTGTTGCAATAAAGTGAGTATAGGCATACTTCAAACATATTGTGGATTTGATTATAGGCCACCATAATAGTGAGTATCTCTGTAAAACAAGCCATAATCTTTGGCTGGTGGAGTGTCTTGCCTTTATTTTGTAGTAAGACTAGGTATGCCTTTATACAAATTGACCTTTGCCCTTGAGTCTCCAAGTTCCATCACCCTTTTGATGAAACTCTTGGCAGTTATGACATGCTGGAAATAGTTTCTGGCACCCATACATCTTCATAACATTTTTTTACTTTGTAAAATTGAAATTTTCTATAATTAAATAATTGTCTATTCACCCCTTCTTCCAGTCCCTGACAACCATCATTTCTACTTTTTGTCTCTATGATTTTGACTATTCTAAGTATCTCATATAAGTCTAATCATACAATATTTATCTTCTTTGTGACTGGCTTAGTATAATGTTCTCAAGGTTCATCCATGTTATAGTATGTGTCAGAATCTCCTTCCCTTTTAAGGCTGAATACTATTTCATCATGTATGTATACCACATTTTGCTTATTCCTTCATCCATCCATGGATATTTGGGTTGCTTCCATATTTTAGCTATTGTGAATAATGCTGCTATGAACACGAATGTACAAATATTTCTTCAAGACTCTGTTTTCAGTTTTTAAGGATATATATACCCCAAAAATAGTATTGTTGGATCATATGGTTACTCTACTTTTAACTTCTGAGGAATCACCATATTGTTTTCCATAGCAGTATATTTCCGAAAAAAGTACCAGTTTATATACCAACAATGTGTAAGAGTTCCAATTTTTCAACATCCTCACCATTCTGTTTTTCTTTATTTGATAGTAGCCTTGTAGTTTTGTGAGGTGATATTTCCTTGTAGTTTTGATTTGCATTTCCAAAATGATTAGTGATGTTGAACATCTTTTCATGTGCTTTTTGGCCATTTGTATATCTTTTTTAGGGAAATGTCTGTTCAAGTCCTTTTTTAATTGTGTTGTTAGTTATTGCTGGTTGAGTTTTACAGTTTCTATACGTATTTAGGATATTGATCCTTTACCAGATATATTATTTGCAAATATTTTTCCCATGGATTGTTTTCACATTGTTGACATTTAGAATTCTAAACTTGTCAAGTGAACTATCTTTTACCCCCTTCTTTTTAAGTATTTAAAAATTTCATTGACATTTTAGGGTCTTCTAGCTGATATTTGAGTTGATAGTAGCAAGAATGGACTCTGATCCTAAACTACTAGCTAAATTGTTTTGAGCTAAGTACTATGCTGTTTTTAATAAAGAAAATCAAATCTGAAGTGAGAAGGAAGAGAAAGAATTGCTTTTTAGGGTCCAGACTTTGAGAACTTGTACCTACCAAATGTTTACTATAGTTTAAAACTTTTTACAAATGAAGTTAACAGCGATGGTTTAAATTTATGTGAGCTAAGTGTAGACTGGAGTTTACTTGTGCCCAGTGTCAACCTACATTTTCAAAGAGTAATAAACCAGACTTCTAATGAATATGATCTGCTGGACAGTGCTTAAATATATATAAAATACTTTTCACCTAGACCCCAACATACATATTTATATACATGGGCATATGATTTCCTTTACATAAGTGTATGTCTGAATGTATATAAATCTTCAAATAAACAAATGCATAAGTATACATGGTATCTAGCTTACAGAATTAGAAATGTAATTTAGTTTACTCCCACAGAATAAGACTGAAGATAATGAGAAGTGAATTAAAGCTTACTTTCTTTCGCAGAATTCCTCAGAGAGAGAAGACTGTAATAATGGCGAACCCCCTAGGAAGATAATACCAGAGAAGAATTCACTTAGACAGGTATGAAATTCAGTCTTACTTAAAAGGTTATCCACAACTAAACAAAAGACAGGAAACCCTTAATTTGCCATTCATTAAGCATGGGAGCTTAAATTAAGAGTACGTTGAAGTTGGTGTGGTGATAGCCACCAATTTCAATCAGGTAACATTGACTCCCAATCTTTAAAAAATATCCTAGATATCCCTACTGTGTAGCTCTGTTGGTAGGGGTGTCATCCCATACACCAAGAAGTCTGCAGGTTCCATCCTGGGCCAGGGTTACAGGAGGCAGCCAGTCAACGTTTCTCTCTCACATCAATGTTTCTCCCTCTCTCTCTACTTCTTTCTGTCTCTCACCCTCTCCCTATCCCTTCTCCTCCCCTCTCCCTTTCCCTTCTCTTTCTAAAACCAATAAATACCATGTTTCCCCGAAAATAAGACCTACTTACAGGTTTCCTTCTGAGTGAAATATAAGGCATCCCCCTGAAAATAAGGTCCCCCCTAGGCTAAACATGAGAGATTTGGCCCACTGATTCTGAAAGAAATGGAGTCACAAGAAATTCACCAGGAAATTCAGGAATTGGATTGTTATGATGATGTTCCAGAAGATGATGACATGATTGTCATTGAATAAATGAGTAAATTCTTGATACTGTAGGATTCACAGTTTGTCTGGTTTGTGTTGACAACTACCGTACTACCGTACCGTATACAGGTAATAAATTTTCTTTATTTTCATTTAACAATAAATGTGTACTGTATTCTTCTTCATGGAAAAATAAGACATCCCCTGAAAATAAGACCTGGCGCATCTTTGGGAGCAAAAATTAATATAAGACACTGTCTTAATTTCGGGGAAATGGGGTATATCCTCAGATGAGGATTAGAACTATATAGTACTAAGCGTACTTTGAAGTTGGTGTGGTGATAGCCACCAATTTAGGAATACAGTTGCTTCCAGTAGTGAAAACAAAATCAAAGGAAAGATTTCTTTTTTAGGAAAAATAATTTGAAATGCTTCTTAAATGTATTGATAGATAGCATAATATTTGCCTTTAAACTTTATTTCCCTTTAAGATTCTCCATACATTAAAAAAATTAATAATCAGAAGGAAATCTGCCTATAGTGAGTTAGCTCCCTCTAATCTGATCAGTATTTGTTTTGCCTTTTCTAGGAATAAAGGCCATTATTGATGATAGTAAAAAAAAACAAAAACTTTTTTACTCACCACTGTCCTCACACTCTCCACATATAACACATTGAAAGTTCAATTCCATAGTGCTTTTTTAAAAAGAGTAAAATGTTAAAAAAAAAACCTGGTAAAAAAATATTTGTTTTCTCAACTGCCTGAAGCAGCAACTTCTGACATCTTCAATCTCCCAATGGCAACAAAAACAAATTCTTACAGTGTTGTCAGAGAATAGGTAATATAACATTGGACAAGATGATCATCAGAAGTCTAATAAGAATAATTTTAACTTACTTGCATTTATGGCATTATTCTAGGAAAAAGGAGATTAATATTTATTGAGTAACCACTATGAACCTCATACTTATTTCATTTAATTCTCATAATAATGCTGTAAAGTTGTTATTAATAGTTATGATTTCTTATTGATTGATAAAGAAAATGGAGGCTTAAAGAAATAGGATGGCTTATTTAGCTAGTCAGTGATTTGAAACCCAGATCTCTGTTGCCGAAATGTTCCTACTTTTGCCCTCTGACTCCAGTTTGTATACAGTGTTAATTTAGGGGAAAGGTACTTGAAACTGTGACACTCATTTTTTATTTTATTTGCTGTATGTTACACCCATATTTAGAGATAAACACCTGATCTGTAAATATAAATAAATAACAATATTCAATATTTAGAGCAATATTGAATAAGATAAATTTGGAGATAAACAACTGTCAGCAAACAATGACATGACAGAAAGTTTTGGCAACTTTATTTAAGCTAACAAACGAATTTTCACTCTGCAAAGTTATAAATTAATTTTAATAGGCTGATCCAGATGGTCCATTTGGAAAATGGATAGGCTGATCTGTTGAAAATTAAACTAAATTTATCTCTCTCATACTTCAAACTGAAGCAAGAGAGAGAATCGTGCCTATTAAGTCCAGCACATACAGATGGACCAGCAGGTCACACATGGGACTAATCTATTCATTTAAAAAATAAATGCATACAATATTAAATCATTTTCTACTTTCAAGATCTGTTGTGTGCAATATTGAAAGAAATGTAGTGTTGTTTTGTTTTCATTGCTTTTTTAGCAGGTTCACTATACTTTAATTTAGCCATTTTTGTCTTTTTCTCCCTCCTAGTGCTCCAAAATGATTTTTCTGATACTGTCAGCTCTGGAGATTATTTAGGTCATGAGGCTCTCCCCACCCCCTTTCTTTGTAAAGGGTTTTTATCTCCATTCTCTTTGTGAAGAGCATGAACTCAGTGTTCTTGGAAAGAGAAATGGCCTTTAGAAACAGGGAAGTAGGAGATCCTCCTGGGGCCCTCGGAGTCTTTTAGCTTCTGGGTGTTTTAACAGCCCCATGAATGCAGATTTGTAAATTTATTGCAGTGCCATCTGGTTTTTTGCTCGAACCAGATTACTGTTGGCTTGTGTCTGTCTATTGTGGTGGTCACTCCCTAGGAGCTTGCCCTCTCAATCTTAGGGAAGAGTGATGAATATCAGGGGTCAATAGAAGTGGGTCACAGGGCAGCTGTCCAAGACTGCCCTGAACTTGATTACCCGACTGTTGATTTTTTAAAATACAGGCCATACTATATAAGCTGTTTAAACTCTCTTTTTTCTATTGCGTATGACAATAATGAAGTGTCATTTGCTTGTGTTATCCCCACTCCTGCGTTAGTAAAATTATGTAGAAAAAAAGGAGCTAAGGCTGCCTCTTCCATAGTACAGATGTAAGTAGAATTTGCTTGTAGGCCAATCCCTTCATGTGAAATTCTTTTGCAGATATTTTTAATGGGATTTCAGGAACTCTTTCACCGTTGATTTTAAAATGCTCAGTTACATCCTAACAAGTTTAGTAATATTTTAAACTAATTTTATAGTTTACATATATTATTCTAAAGTATGATTTTACCATTGTTGATACAATATGACCACTATGTGTTAATCTGGAGTTATTTAATTCTTGCAGGAGCTGAAAAGGGGGTTATTACAGATCTTACAGACATTAAAAGAATAATAGAATAAACAACTTTAAACCAAAAATTTGGCAACTTAGATGAAATGGGCAAATTCCTTAAAAAATACAATTTGCTGAAACCAGCACAAGGTGAAACAAAATTGGAATAGCCCCATGTCTGTGAAAGAAATTTAATTAACTATCAAAAGGCCCATATGGTTTCACTGGTGAATTCTATCAAACATTTAAGGAATAAATAATACCAATCTTTTACAAACCTTTCAAAATATAGAGAAGAATAGAACACTTCTTGGCTTGATTGTGAGGCCGCCATAATCATAATTCCAAAACCTGACAAAAGACATTAGCAGAAAAAGAAAATATTGAAGGAGAAAGTCAGGAGACACTGCTTTCTGCACCACTCATTTTTTGTACCTGCTTTTCCATTTCATTTCCAACATCAGAAGGCAGCAGAGTTGGGGAGAGAGATGTGTGAGGCAGGGAAAAGCATTGTATCTTTTTAATTTCCTAAGTTTCAGAATAATTTTATCTCTTGGCACTAAGTAAAGTGTGAACTTTTACTTAAAGGATGTACAAAATAGCAACACTGCCTCCCCCCCTATTTTTATTCCTAAAATGTGAAGCCAAGGAAACCATAGCAACTGTTTTTATAGCTTTTATTCATATCTGCAAACAAGGGCAAAGGCCTGGGAGGATACATGAAAGTGCTCATTACTTTTTAAAAATGTAGCCTTACAACATGCAACTCCTTCTTTGCTTCACATTGGTGCTAATAGGATCTGTCAGCCCTGCCTTTCTTGTAATTGAGTAAATTGTGACCTCTGTCTAATCCTTCCCCGCCCCCCATTCCCTTTGTGTATGTGTCCACTTACCATCCTGAGAACGTGGGCAGTGATAAATAAAGCATTGAGTAGAGCTCTCTCAATGCTTTGAAAGCAGCATGATGCCAGCCCTCTAGTTATATTTCTTTAAGTGTTTACGTTTTTCTGTATTCTTTCTCTTGTGTAGCTGGAACCCTGGGGATGCAAAGCCATGAGAGAGGCCAAGAAGCTAACAAAGTAGCTGTCTCCCTTGTTAGCTTGTTCCTTTATTCTTTCAAAACAAGATAAAAACCATCTGGCTCAGGGCATTACATTTTCCTCCCCCATGCACCTCTATAGATGGAGACTTCACCTGCAGTGAGGGTTTACATTGATTAGGGAGGGAGCAGTAATTCAAGCTTCCATCCTCTTCAAGGATACTTTGCAGTCTTTAAAGGTGCTGACCCACTGAGTTAAACTGTCAAGGGAGGATAAAAAAGTATCTTCATCCCAGGAGGTAACAGCTGCCAGGTTTTCAACACCTTGCACACTGTTGGAAAAATGTCACAATTGTCAGCTAAAAGAAAAATGACTCTGTTGTCATCTTCTGTTAATGACTGGGCCTTATCAAAGGAACTACATAAGTCTTTAAAGGAGTAAGTAGCTGTTTCCCTTGCCTATCACACCCCCTCCCCAAATTACTATGTTCTAAACTTTACTTGGAGGAGATCCCACAAAAAAAGCAGAGAAGAACTTAAAGTGAAAACATCCAGCATAAGATGGAAGTGATTGGCAGAGCTCCTTTGTACAGTTGGATGAATAGGAGGATAAAGTACATCACTGACACAGAAAATGACATTATAGTGTGTATTAACAAAACAACAACAACAACAAAAAGTAATTCATAAGCCAGTGAACTGAGAGAAAACATACTGTATTTCTGCTCTTTAGAGAACAATTTGTTTTCAAGCAGCATCCAGATGGGTGAATACCATGACATTTCTTTTTTCAAGAGAGCCACTTCTTTTCTTTCTTTAAAAAACAAACTCACCGATTTACTTCCTGTAATAGCTCTGTAATGCTTGTATATGATTTCATTCCCTTCTTTCTGATTTGATTGATGAGGGAAAGGTTTAATGAAGTCCCTGATATCAGGCAGGCAGGGGTTTTTTTCTATTTGTTTTAGGTTAGTCATTTTAATTGTGTTGAGTAATTAGAAGGTACACACAGCCAAGGGAGCTTTGTTCTGATAATTGCTCAAGAAAACCCATTCTCTATCTGCCAGTTGCTTTGTGTTAAGACATTTCTCCCCCTAGTGGCAATAGTAAGCATTTGACTTGGCAGTAGGCAAGGTGTAATTGTAATGTGACAAACTGTGCTTAAGGGACTATCTTGTAAATACTTTAGTTTGGGGTTTGGCATTATTTCATTATATATGTGTTTTTCCCCCTGTGAAACTTCCTACCTCCGTTTTTTTGTTTTTGTTTTTTTTCCTGAGGTGCTTTGGGCTTTGGATGGGGAAAAATTGCCTGAGATGTTTATTAAAAAAAAATCACAGTGCATCCTGGGTAATGTTTTGCAGCTTGACTTAATTTTAGTCATCTGTTTTAATTACCTATTTATAAAAATGCTTTTGCATTTGTAGACATTATTTAATACTTTGGAAGAAACACCTCATTTGAAATAAATAAATCAATTGTATTTATTTTAAACAGTTCATGTAAAAGACCTTAAAGGTAATTAATGTAGGTCTCTTAAGTAAGACAAAAGTGATCTTTCCAAGTCTGATGAAGTGATTTGTTTATTTAACTTCCCACTTTGGCTAAATCCTTCAGAGTCTAATAACTTTTTTTTTTTAAAATATATGGTTTGGCAATTTGTGTCTAGCTCCAAAAACCCTTCTTTAAAAAGCAGCAATTTAATAATCAGCTTTCTTAAAATTACTTTGAGGGAGGAAAACTATATAGGGGGTTGGTGTTTTGTTTTATTTCAGTGTAATCATGCTTTGATAAATTATATAATCAGTGCCTTAGTAGAAAAAATATTATTGAACTCCTGGGTTGCAATGACCATAAAAATTGTATTTTCATATAGAGACTTGAGATATTGTGAATAAATTATAAAGGAAACAGCTTATATGCTGATTGAAGTTCATATGGGTCCAATTCATTTTGTGCTGAGTGCTAAATCTGGCTGTACCATTAAAAAGAAAAGAAAATGGGATGGGAGGGTAGCCTATTGTGCCCAGTTGTACAAACCCTTAAAAATCTGCCCTGAGAGCAACATGGAATGAGACCAGATAGAGCTTTGCATCTATTGGATGAGATTCAGTAGATCTGGGTGACATTTTTAAAGCCTAATTCCAGCTTTCATAGATGTCGCTTTGTATAATAGTTTGCCTTTTCTGACCCATATTCTTGCTGGGGACTTGATTTGATGTTACCATATATCTGATAGTCCCTGTCCCCCTCTTCCCCACCCCCCAATCACTAGCCATTTTCATTATACTATATCTTGTTTTGCTATAGGGCTGCTGAACAGATTTCTTAAGCAGCTTTTTGCAAGGTTAAAAGAATGCAGCCTAGTAACAAGTTTGTGTCATTTTAAATATATACCTTCTAGTAAATAAGGAGAAGTCTAGCAATCAATCCCTTTTAGTGTGTTATATGTTTCACCTGACAACTAAACCTCCTATTGATTAGCCATTACTTTGTTAGATAATCCTATGTCATTGAATCCGTTGTAAAAAATTAAACTCTTTAAAATGTTTTACCCTAGCAGCAGTCTGAAAATTGAAAACTTGTTCAGAATTACAGCCTGCTTTCACAAAGGTAGTTTTCAGCAAGGCATCTTACTGGTTTACGCTTATGTGCCTTATATGCAATATAAAAACATATTAAAGTACTCCAATGCAAAACCCTCTGCCTCTGGTTCAGCGGTGAGGCTACCTTTTCAAATGTTGCATGGGGACAGAACCTATCTTGCTTGTGGCTATTACACTCACTCGTTTAATTATAGCCTGGAGGGAGCCTTACAATAGTAAAATAGTGAGTGTAAAATACTGAATTTTTTAGCCTTCTTATGCCAAAGTGATCTAAGGACTGTGACAAGTTTTACTTTACTAATCTATGTAACTTCCTTGGGAGCTAAACAAGGTCATATACCCATTTTACAGATAGGATGTCTAGAAAATAAAAACCCATATATAGCCTTATTCTGGAAACTTCTATAAACCTAGAATAGGTTTCCTGAATCTATCTAAATTTCCCCTGAGTGTGATATGCTCATTTCTAAGGGGAAAATGAATTTTGTAGGAAAACTAATCAGTTTTCTATCTGCTGTTACTCCCGCCCCCCAAAGTATAGCATAATATTTTCATTAATTAACTGGATAAACCTATGGTATTATTCCCCTAAAACTTTAACTGATTATTTTTATATTTTTATTGAAATAAAATTTTCATACAGTAAATTATGTAAATATTAATTGCATAAGTCAATTAATTTTTGACAAGTCTATCCACCATGTAACCACTACTCCAGTCATGCTATAGAACACTCACTACCCAGGAAAGTTTCCTGGGTCTCCTTCCCAGACAACTTCCCCAAACCCATAGATTAGTTTTGCCTTTCCTAGAATTTCATGTAATAATATACTTTTTTGGGGTCCGGTTTACTAAGTATATATGTGATTCATCTTTGCTGCTATGTATAGCAGTAATTTATTCTCTTGTTATATAGTATTTCCATTAAATAAGTATAGTACAGTTTATTTTTTATTCTTTTGATGGACAATTTCCATTTTTATAAATGAAGTTGCTATGAATGTTCTTTTTTTTAAAATATATTTTATTGATTTTTTACAGAGAGGAAGGGAGAGAGAGAGAGAGAGAGAGAGAGAGAGAGAGAGAGAGAGAGAGAGCTAGAAACGTCAATGAGAGAGAAACATCGACCAGCTGCCTCTTGCACACCCCCTACCGGGGATGTGCCCGCAACCAACGTACATGCCCCTGACCGGAATCGAATCCGGGACCTTTCAGTCCGCAGACCGACTCTCTACCACTGAGCCAAACCGGTTTCGGCTATGAATGTTCTTATAAAGCCTTTTCAGTGATCACGTATTGAATAATTTTTATGTGCTTATTGGCTATTCACATATTTTCTTTTGTGATGTATCTTAAGTTGTTTGCCACTTGAACAAATTGGTTTGTCTGTCTTATTGAGTTGCGGAACTAAACTATATCGAGTGCTAGATGTGTTCTGAATATTTTCTCACAGTCTGTGTCTTGCCTGTTTATTCATAATGTTTTTGATAAGTTTCTAATTTTTTAATGAAGTCCACCTACCAGTTCTTACCCTATGACTGAATATATTCTTCTAGAAGCTTTGCAAATTTTAGCTTTTATCTTTAAGTCTATGGTCCAACTCAAATTAATTTTGTTGTGAAGTAAATTTGGGATTCATTATTTCCCCCATGCTTTCTACTTTTTATTTTTGCAATTAACTTCATTTTGCTTGTAATAACAAAGATGAAAACATCCCCATGCTTTTTTATCCAGTTGTCTTGGCACCATAGTTGAAAAGCCTATATACTTGTCTATAGACATCTTATTTCTGAACCTCCTAGAAAGAGGCTGCTGTTGGATGCAGAGCAAAGGATGACAGCCACTGAGGCTCTGACTTACTCCTACTTCAAGTCCATGAGTGATATAGAGGATGACTTCAGGTTCCTCTGTTTTTGTTTTATTAAATATTCATCCAAAGATGTGCTCATTGATTTTGAGAAGTGGAGGGAGGAAGAGAAGAGGGGAGGGAGAGGCAGAGGGAGAAGCACAAGGAGAAGAAGAGGGAGAGAAAGAGAGAGAAAAAGAAAAAGTAAAATTGAGAGTTGAGAAAGAAACATCCAAATAGAGATTGAACCCTGACTGGAATTGAACCAGTAACCCTCTATCTAGTTCATGAGATGACTTTCCAACCAGCTGAGCCACACTGGCCAGGGCAGGATCCTCTGTATTTAGAGGTTTCTGCTCTTATAGCAAATAGAGTCAGCCCTCCATACTCACAGGTTCTGCATCTGTGGATTCATCCAATGGCAGATCAAAAATATTTTTGGGGAAAAGTTACCTTGTTGCTGACAGATGCTATGTAGAGTGAGGCCTGCAGTGGTCTTGTCTAAACTGTGTATAACACTGTCTTGACTATTTTAGCTTCCATATTATCTTAAAATTGGGTAGTGTGAATCTTCCATATTTTTATTATTTTGGCTATTTAGATACTTTGCACTTATATTTAAATTTTAGAATCAATTTAGCAAAAGATTTTCAGTGCCATTGTAAGTTGTTTTCATTCTGCTTGTTCCTTATTACAGATACAGTTGATCTTTGATTGTCAACCTTGTCTCCTGTTATGTAGACGATTTCATTTCTTTTCCAACTTATAGGTATTTTATTTCTTTTTCTTTATTTGAATGTTGAATAAGAGGACATCTTTGCCTTGTTCCCACTCTTAGAGAGACATTGACTCTGATGTTAGTTGAATTTTTTTTTTAGATTTCTTTAATGGGATTGAGTTTCCTTTTGAGTAAAAGTTCCCTTTTATTTCTACCTTGCTGTGGTTTTATTGAAATTATGAATGAATGTTTAATTTTATCAAGTGCTTTCCTCCCTTTTATTCTGTTAATATGGTGAATTACATTAATTGACTTCAGTAAGAATTTTTGTGTCTGTGTTCATGAGAAATATATAGCTTTCTTTTGGGGGGCAGTAGGGGTGTCAGATTTTGGTGTAGAGTTGAGTTGGGAAGTCTTCCCCTGCTCCTCCATTTTCTAAAAATGTTTGTGTATGATCCTGATATTATTTCTTTCTTAATATTTAATAGAATTAGCCAGTGGAAGCATTTAGGCCAGTAGTTCTGTGTGTTTTCTTGTGGTGAAAAATTTAAATATTTCAAAATTTGTGTGGAATGACTTTTAATAACAACTTCAATTTTTAGAAAAGATTTCGTGCTATTAAAATTTTGTTTCTTATGTCAGTTTGGATAATTTGTATATTTTAAGAAATGTATAACACTTTGCAACCTGTTCATTTATTTTAATACTCAGATTATTCCATGCTTTGATGCTTCTTCCCTGACATATCTCCATTATTCCTTGAATATTTCCAGATTCATCTTGTATTTTCCCTGTTCAATCCTGGGTTCAGCCATTGCTTGGGCAAGCACTATGTTTCTTTTTAGTGAGAAGCCAAGATTGAAACATTAACTTTATTTTACATATCCTATCCAATAAAAGGGCAATATGCAAATTAACCATCACTCCATCACAAAGATGGCAGTGCCCATAGCCACAAGATGGTGGCGCCCAGCCCTCTCAGCTCCGCTGGAGTCCCCCAGTCCCAGGGGGTGGCCACTGAGAGTGGGCAGCATGAGCGGCCTGGCAGAATGCTTGTTTCGTTGCCATAGCAATGAGGCAAGCATTTCGTGCCCAGCTGTGGATGGGCCTCTGGGCCACAGAGAGCCTCTGGGCAGCAGGCATGGAGCAGCAAGGCAGAGAGCTACTGGTGTACAGATTCCTGTGCAGGGCTACTACTATGATATATTAATATTTTTTAAAACCATGAGTTCACATTAATGCCTCTAATTCTAATCTAACACCACAATTTATTCTAGATTTTTTTCCTTTTTATATTTGTAATTATTTTTTCTAATAGTAAGAAACATGAGACCTAGTCAGTTTGGCTAAGTGGATAGAGCATCGGCCTGCGTACTGAAGGGTCCCAGGTTTGATTCCGGTCAAGGGCACATGCATGGTTTCGGGTTCAATCCCAGTAGGGGGCATGCAGGAGGCAGCTGATCAATGATTCTTTCTCATCATTGATATTTCTCTCTTTCTCTCTTCATCTTCCTTCCTCTATGAAATTTATTTAAAAAGAAACCTGGTTTGAGATTTTTCCTTTCAGCACTTTAAAAATGTTGTTCTTTATCTAGTAGCCCTCCTTGTTTATGGTGAAAAGTCTACCACGATTTATGTGCTTTCATGTATGCAGAATCCCCTTTTTCCTTTGGCTGCTTCAAGATTTTATCTTTGTGGTTGTCAGCAGTTTTTACTATGTTGGATCTAAGTTATATTTTCTTTGTTTTTAATCTCTGAGGTTTGCTGATCTTAGATCAGTAAGCCAATGGTGTTCACCAAGTTAGAGAAATATTTGGTCATATTTTTATAATTTTTTTTCTGCCCCATTCTCACCTTTTTTCTGGGTCTCCAAGTGAATATACGTTGTTAGACTATTGAAAATTGCCCAACAGATGACTGAGATTCTGTTTATTTTTTTTTTTTTCTTTTTCTCTCCCTGTTCTTCAGTTTAGATCATTTCAATTGATCAGTCTTTAATTTCATAGACCTTTTCTTCTGCCATCTCCAGTCTGCTTTTAAACTCATCCAGTAAATTTTTAATTTTAGGTAATGTACTTTTCAATTATAGAATTTTTATTTGGTTCATTTCAGGTTTTATTTTTTCTGATGAAAATTTTCATCTCAAATTTTTCATTGTAATCATATTTCTCATTTAAGTTGTTGAACGTATTTTTAAAATATATATATATATATATATATATTATTGATTTTACACAGAGAGGAATTGAGAGGGATAGAGTTAGAAACGTCGATGAGAGAGAAACATTGACCAGCTGCCTCTTGCACACCCACTGCTGGGGATGTGCCCGCAACCAAGGTACATGCCCTTGACCGGAATCGAACCCGGGACCTTTCAGTCCGCAGGCTGACACTCTATCCACTGAGCCAAACCGGTCTCGGCAAGTTGTTGAACGTATTTATTACAACTTCTGTAGAGCCTTTATGTACTGATTTCTACAACTAGGTCCTCTCATGGTCATATTCTGTTTGTTCCTTTTTCTCTTGACTATGGGTCCCATTTATCTGCTCCTCATATATGTAAGTTTTTTTTATTATATAATGGACATTATAAATAGTACATAGCAGAGACTATGGATTCTTTTATCTCCCTCTGATTAATTTTCTGGCTGGTAATTTCAACTTCATAGAGTCTGATTTTTGTGTCCATTAGATGTATTTTGATTTTGCCCTTAGTCCTAAGGAAGATCTTTTAATCCTAAGATTTATTTTTTTAGTCTCAATGTGGGGTTTTCTGAGTTTTCAGTGGAAAGTTTGAGGTGCTCATTAAGCCTCTCTAACTGAGTAGGAATGTAATTATAAACTCTGTCTCCCCTCATGAGCAGCAGCTAGAATCTCTGCTTAGGTCTTTCAGTCTTCCAGATGTTACTTTCCATTGGAATGCTTGGAGTCTCCCACTCATGCATGTAGCTTGGGGTTAGCCATGGATTTGAAGGAACATGTATGAATGTTTTGATGCTGCTTCCCTACCCATGGCTCTTTCTATTTTCTATGATTTCTCTTCTCATTTTCCAGCCACTATGGTAGCCCTGAACTCTATCCTCTGACATCTCAAGCCAATAGACTGTGACTTTCTAGTTGAATTTTAGTCACCCTGCACCAAATAGACTAATGAGTAGTAGTACCCTTAGGGAAAAGCACATAAACATGGATTTCACCAGAGTGGTTATCCTCTTTCAAGGTCAGTCCACTCCTCTCCCCAGTTTCTGCCTACTTTAGGTCAACCTCCTGCCTTTAATGTAGCTATTTTAAAATATTTTTCCATGGTTTATAATTATTATATCAAGAGGGTTAATTTAAACAAAACATTTCTACCATTGTTGGAGCCAGAATTTTTTGGCTTAAAGTTTTATTTTATTCAGTATATACAAATTATTGCATAAATGTCTTTTTAAAACACAGTTTAGTTTTTAAAATTATATGTTGTCTGTATAGGAATAGTAAATGTTTGTGGTATTAATAGTTGCAAAAGAAGTATTGAACCCTGATCCTAAAATATAAATATACCAGAGGTCCTATATACTAATGTCAAATGATCTAGTTGATTCTTTAAAAAAATGTTTTGAAATAATTTCAAGTTAAATAATTTAAGACTACAACAGTTAAGTGGATACCTTTTTAAAAATTTAACTTGTTTAACTGAAAATCAATTTTATAATATTTTTTCTGTTTCTTTATATTTTATTTTTGTCAATCTATTCTCTTTCCAAAGAATGATAATTGACCAAAAATGAATTATTTAAAACGAGTGGCCCTATGCATGAATCCATACGCAAGTAGCTCACTGCCGCTGTAGCTCTCTGCTGCTTGTAGCTTGCTGCCCTGCCCTCCTGTAGTACTTCCCCACTTGTAGTTTGCTGCCCCGCCCCCCTAGTGATAGGTCATTACACGTCACTGCGTAACAAACATTTGCATATTAACTCTTTATTATATAGGATACCTATGCAACCATTGCTGATATAAATAAATGAATAAATATGTAAGTAAATTGGCAAAGAAGTCATAGGTCTTCCTTACAGAAAAATTCCAGCTAATAAATGTAGAAGGAAAGGGAGAAATTTTTAAATTACCAATAGAACAAACACCACAGTAAAAATCACCATAGATGCAAGCTCTAGCAATGGATGCTAAAATTAGCGAGCAAAGCTGAAGCAGAAAATAATATTTGCATAGTCTCAAAGTATTTCCCCCAATATTTAGTAATTTTTGAAGGAAGAAAAAAATAAGCTTACAATTGGGATTCTTGGCAGATACAATCTTAGGCAAGTGATCAAGGCTAACATCACTAGAAATATTCATCAACATATCTCCTGACTTGATATATTGAGACAGGCACACCACCTCTGTGCTTTCCTTCCTAGTAATGTGTAACCTCAATCTGATCAGGAGAAAACATGAGACCTTAACTGAGGGATGTTCCATAGATTAATTAGTCAGTACTCTTTAGATAAGACGGAGTCATGAAAGATGAGAAATTGTAACCGATTAGAGGAGGTTAAGGAAATATGACAACTGAATGCAATGTGGAATCTTGGGTTGGATTCCAAATAGAAAAGGGGCATTAGTGAGAAAAGTGGAGAAACTCAAGATTTTTCTTATATTATACCTTGTTAATTCCTTAGTTTTGATAAATGTTCTGTAGTTATATAAGACATTCACATAAGAAATCAATCTCCAGATTTTTCTCTTTAACTTCAACACACACATTTATTCCAGTAGTTTTCAGAGTGTTCCTAGACTAGTGGCATTAACATCAACTGGGAACTTGTTAATAATGCAAATTTTCAGAAGCCCTGGGGATGGGGCCAAGTAATCTGTGTTTTAACAATCATCACCAGATTATTCTGATGCATGCTAAAATTTAAGGACTGTGATTTGTACCATCAGTAACAACATAAAAAAAAGGGGGGAAATATTTTTATTAATATATTGGCCAGTTGTTAATAATGTTTGCTTACCATAAAGTACAACCAATTTTCTTTTTAATTGTGGTAAATACATGTAATATAACATTTACCATGTTAGTCATTTTAAAATGTACAGTTCAGTGATATTAAATACATTTACATTTTGTGTATCCATCACCACCATCCATCACCATACTTTTTTCACCTTGTAAAATTGAAACTCTGTACCTGTTAAACAATAAGTCCCCTCTTCCCTCTTTTTTTTTTAATATATTTTATTGATTTTGTACAAAGAGGAAGGGAGAGAGAGAGAGAGAGAGAGAGAGAGAGAGAGAGAGAGAGAGAGAGCGCGCGAGCTAGAAACATCGATAGGAGAGAGTCGTCGATCAGCTGCCTCTTGCACACCCCCTACTGGGGATATGCCCGCAACCAAGGTACATGCCCTTGACCGGAATCGAACCCGGGACCCTTCAGTCCCCAAGCCAACGCTCTATCCATTGAGCCAAACTGGTTTCGGCCTCTCTTCCCTCTTCTCCCAGGTCCTGGCAACCACTATTCTACTTTTGTCTCTTTATGATTTTGACTACTTTAAATCTCTAAAAATGGAACTGTATAGTATTTATACTTTTGTAATGGACTTATTTCACTTAGCATAATGTCCTCAAGATTCATCCATGTTATATAATACTAGAGGCCTGGTGCACGAATTCGTGCACAGGTGGGGTCTCTCTGGGTGGCCTGCAGGGATCTGGCCGAAACTCACAGTCCAACGCTGCCTGCACTCCTGCTCATCCTAGCCCCACTGTGCCTGCTGTGGGCTTGCACCTAATCAGTCCTGATCAGGAGAGGCTGGCACTGCTGCAGTAGCACTCACCAGCCATCTGCCCCTTGGTGGTCAGTGCACATCATAGTGAGCAGCCTTAGCATATCATTAGCATATTACTCTTTGATTGGTTGTTAAGTTGTTCTGCCATTTGGTCTATTTGCATATTACTCTTTTATTATATAGGCTGTGTCATAATTTCCCATACTTTTTAAGGCTTAATAGTATTTCATTATGTATATATACCACATTTTGCTTATCCCTTGATGGTTAAGGTATAACCTATCAATGTACAATGGGGCTGCTTCCACATTTTAGCTATTGTGATTATAATCCTGTTATGAGCACTACATACAAATACAGTATACTAGTATCTTCAGAATTATTTTAATTCTTTGGGGTATATTCCCAAAAGTGATATTATTGGATCATATGGTAATTCTATTTTTAATTGTTTAACACCATACTGTTTTCCACAGTGCTGTACCATTTTACATTTCCATTAACAGTGAGTGCATAATGGTTCCAATTTCTCCACATCCTTGCCCACTCTTGTTTTCTGTGGGTTTTTGTTTTTGTTTTGTTGTTGTTTTACTAATATTTATCCTAATAAGTATGAAGTGGTATCTTATTATAGTTTTGCTTTGCATTGCCCTAATTATTAGTGATGTTGACCATCTATCTTTTCATGTGCTTGCTGGCCATTTGTATTTCTTCTTTGGAGAAATATCTATTCACAAGTCCTTTGCCCATTTTTCAATAACTAACACCCCTACCTTTCATACATATAGTTAACCACTGCTGCTCACATACTTGTTATGGGGACATCAATGATTCTCCTGGGTTTTCCCCTGTCTTTCTTGTCTCTCAGTACTCATAAATCTGGAATTTACATATAGGATCTATTTGTGTATTGATTTTGAGAAATAGGGCAGAATTTAAAAACTGTATATGAAATATTAAACCTGTTTCAAAAAAACCCACACCTCTCTTTACAGACTTATAACAGCTGTGCCAGACTCTGCTTAAACCAAGAAACAGTATGTCTAGCAAGCACTGCTATGAAGACTGAAAATTGTGTGGCCAAAGTAAGTAATATTATTCAATATATATTATACTACTTCATAACAATGCATTATCTATAGAGGTCTTCACTCATTATTGCTATAAAGCTTATTACCGGATTTTACTAATATATTTTTAAGAGAATATAGCGAGCATTTTATCCAAATTAGATTACAAGTTGGAATCTCCAGCTCTTTAATTGCAACATAATTTTTTGATTATGTATACTGGTCACACTTCAGTCTAAATCATATTTGTTGCTTACACTAGCTATGGATTGTAACAAAAAAGTAAAGTTTTATGTAAGAAATTATACAAATTATTTTTATGTTTGTTCATGGCTTCTAGTGTAATTAAGAATAATGTACACCATTGCAAGGATTGTGAAATATGCTATAGAAAATCCAATTATTATATCATTATTGTTATTTATTAAATGGCTTAATTGTAGAAATATTCCTTTTGGTGATCTTGATCTGCATGGACAAGTATATTTAAATCACGCATATGAGCTACCTCTTATGTATAAATGTGTGCCATATCTGTAAAATAGATACAAAAAAATAATCTTACATATTAGAGATTTTACAATCTAATAATCATATAACTATGACTCAAAATTTTCTAAGTATCTTTAACTACTCAGGAGCTTTGACCTAAATTTAGATATCATCCATTTTGATGATTCCAAGAATAAGTAAAATTCCAGTATGGGCTTTGTTTCTAGACTTTTACTTTGCATATCTGCAAACTTACTGCCTTCAATAACTGTTTTGTCACTGTTACAACATTTCCAATTTTAACTACTTTAAGTTTAATCTATTATATTATATAATTAGGCTCTTAATTACTTACTGTTATTATTAGAGCTAAGGCTGGTATCATCCTTTGCTACAAAAATCAAATGACAGCAATATTTTTTATTATTTTTATTTTATTTCTTAAAACATGAAGTATTTTTGTCAACTGAAAATATATAATGGAAAATATAATCAATGGAAATGATCCATATAAGAAATGTCAGAATTTACTTAAAATTATAGTTTAAAAAGATAGTCATTTAAGTGTTTCTTAAACTAGAATGTCTTAATGACTTACTGTAAAATATGAATATTATAAATTATATTTACATATTTCATGTTTCAGTCACTTAGTAACAGCCAGCAAGTGCTAATTGATCGAATTTTTTACTTAGCATTTGAACATTGAGATGGGGGACCAATTATTTGAGCCTTTAAAAATAGTCTATCTCCTTTTTGGCCACACTGCTCTCAGTTTTATCTCAAGTGGGTGACTTCTGGCTAACCAAGGTAAAATCTTAACATGAGCACCGATCCGAGGACAAGGTGACAATTTTAATGAGTTTCATTGAGAGCTGGCCAACAGAACATCTGTCCTTTTTGTTTTCTCCATACTTTGTAAACCAGGATCTCTAAAACTATGTAGTTATTTTGTTGAGTGTCTGTATGATGTGGTGTATGTGTTTTTTCTCTCCCACTCTACTTAAGTGGTGCATGGTTAGAAATCTTCTGGCATCTGGCACAATGACATAATTTCTTCTGTGCTCTTGGGTGAGGAATTAAGTTTGCTCATTGCTGCTCATCAGTCTGTTTCCTTTGCTCCCAGATGGTGGCCCTCTCATCCCATTCTTGCTTATTTTAACATTATTCTGACATCTATATCCTTTCATTGATTTCTTAAATACCCTAATTCAGGGGTCCTCAAACTTTTTAAAGTGGGGGCCAGATCACGGTCCCTCAGAGAGCTGGAAGGCCGGACTATATGAACTACTAATTCCTACTGTAACACCTCGGCTGCGCTCACTGCCCAAAAAACTTGGCGGGCCGGATCAGACTCCTCTGCGGGCCGCATGTGGCCCACGGGCCGTAGTTTGAAGACGCCTGCATAATGATTTTATCATTTTCTATTGGAACCCACCTAACTTTCTGGTCCTATATATATAAATTATTGATTTCAAAGAGAGGAAGGGAGAGATAGAAACATCAGTGATGAGAGAAAATCATTGGCTGCCTCCTGCACACCCCACACTAGAAATCATGCCCACAACCTAGGCATGTGCCCTTGACCGGAATCGAACCTGGGACCTTTCACTCTGCAGGCCGACGCTCTATCTACTGAGCCAAACCAGCTAAGGCTTATTATTCCTTTTATTGGCCCATAGGCTGTCTTCTGGTTTATTTCTTCAAATTGAGCTAAATAAACTATTGATCAATGGCAAATAAGAACATGTGGCTGAATTCTATTCTTTTTGCAACAGCCTTCAGTGAGGTACCAACAACATGGAAATAGGGGAAGAATTTTCCCTTTTTCACTTACATGTTATAGGATATCATGATTCTGTACTATTTCTGCTGGCCTCATTTATTGCTTGACTTTTGAAAAATAATGACTTGGTACTATTTTTGTAGGTCTGCAAGCTTGTCCCTATTTCCTGTTCTTCACCTTTAGCCCTTAACTGAATAGTTTCATCTGCTATACTTGATATGGCTGCATGGTTTTTAAGTTGGTACAAGTGTCTGTTGATTCAGATTGTACTCCAAAGTGGCCTTGAATGTCCAGCCATCTCTATGTGAGAGCAACTATAATACAGTGAGACCATCCATTTTGGGCTCTAGTTCAAAGCAGTCAATTCTGGTAGGAGTGACTTTCGTTTAGGTGGAGATGGTAATTAAAGTCTAAAACCTTACTATTAAAAACTGTTGATATGAGTTTTAGAGAAAACTTTACTACCAGTTATTCCCTTAAAAATAGCAATGTTGTTATGTTCGGACCCCTTATAGCGCATCGTATAGGATTCCTCATTGCTGGAAATATCTTACAATAAGTGTTTTACAATAGGTCTATGGAAAGAGACTCATTGGCCCTAGTTACAATACAAAATGCCCCCACAAATTTGTAAAACAAACTATAGTCACCCTAGGTTAATAATAATCTTCTGAATCTCTTAACTTGAAGAATGATGCCTAAAAAAGACCTATAATAATAAAAGCATAATATGCTAATTAGACCAGACATCCTTCTGGACAACCTTCCAGACAAAGCCAGGGCTGCGAGAGAAACCCAGGTCCCAGGTGCCTGCCGGCAGCCACAGGGAAGCCCGGATCCCCGGTGCCAAAGGGAAACGTGCCAGCAGCCAGGGGAAGGAAGGCCTATTCTTGCACAAATTTCGTGCATCAGGCTCTAGTTTAAAAATAAAAATGGAGGAGGGGTCATTTTATCAGTACAACTTAATCCAAGTAATATTTGGAGGCACTGAAATGTCTTATTATCTTCCAAAGCTTTCCTTCTTAATAATTATAACCCTGTATTTTATGAAATTTGTTATTGGAACATGATGAGCTTTGAATTTATTGTACCTTTAAATGGACAGTCATTACTGACTGCCAATTTAGTGTTTAAAATCAATAATTACATTGTACCTAATTGTCAAGCTTCATGATGCTTTTTAATTGATAAAGAAAATTAACTGGAAAAATGAAGAACACTGATCCTTTGTGTTTAATTGAACTTTTAAAAAATATTACTAAAAAGTTTGATTTCAGGTATTTCCCTAATTTACCCTTCTACACACATACACAGTTAAAATTTAGTTGTTTGAACATATCTATCTAGATTTCTGTCCAGGTAGGAAGAAGTACTGCCTCTATGTTTGGAAAATAAACCACTTCAGGAGTCCTTTGTAGATGTGTTCTATATTATAGTTGTTGTTGTTTGTTGTTATTGTTTTTTACTTGAGACTAATAATCTGTTTGTAACTGACTGAGACAGAAAAATGTGATGTTCCTTTCCACTTACTCCAGATTTTGATAGAAGACTTGTTTTATTTATTTCCAAAATTATATCCGCAGGAAACAAGCTGTTTAAATTCAGATTATGCTGAAGCAAAATGGTCCTGGTATGAGAAGCAACGTGCTGTTTTACGAGCACAGAGTCCCTTTTCTCATAACTGATTGATAGTAAATATTTTCCTGAAGAATTATTGCCAACCATGAACAGTGCAACTGTTTCACTTTTTTTCCGTGCTACTTGCTGTACCAGCCATTGTCGGTAATTAAGATCTACAATTCACAATGCAGACGTTTGCACTTCCTCTGGGTCTGTACTATTTATAAGGCATTTCAGCTGTTCAGAGTTTCTTTTGAGTTTTAAACTACATGTTAACAGGCTTCTTTAATATATACTATTCTACAAGAAGCACATTAGATGGTCCATTCTTTGCACAGGTTCCTCTGGTGGGTCTAACAACTAGCTTTTAGAGAATATATTTAAATGTAACCATATCATTGAGGCCAATGTGGTTGGAAAAACTCTGAAGTGTAATGTGTCACACATTTGGTTTATTCTGAAGGCAGGAATAAAGTTGAGAAGTAATATTTTCCCTTTCATCTTCAAATGTTTTTATAAATAATGAGTGTTAATAGTGTGGGTAGTTACAGAGAGGTTCTGAGAAATACTAGTAGAATGGCTTTTTCAAGCTCACTTTTGAAGTAATAACAGAATCAAGGGCCATTGTTACAAACAAGAGTTTGTGTGTTTGTCAGATTAAGGATACAAGTATACATAAACTTCTGGATGTGTATGATTCTTAGGAATACAAAGGGCGCTACAAGGGATCAGCAGATTGACTGCACATTTGTTGTGTAATCAGCTTTATGAACCCTTTAGGAATATGCCATTGGAGAGAAAAGTTTAAATAGGAATCCTGGTCTATATTAAAATTGGTATAAAATTCAAAGTCGTGTTCATTTTTTTTTTAAAAAAGTTCAGACCCCAGTGAGAGTCTTTGTGAATTATGCCTGAGAGTCAGAGTAACTGCTTGCATAGTCTCCTTGCTACCTGCATTTATTGTTAAATATACAAGAGAAAGAAACAAGAAACTGAACGTGGTTGACAAAATAAGTTTAAAACTTTGTGCTGAGTGGAGATCAGTCTGGCTGTTTTTAAGCCTGAAGTCAGCTTCATTGATTCTGCTTGTTGGCCGCCAGCATCGTTCAGCAGAGCA